GATACGTAGTCCGGCACGCTAATAACAGGGCAATAAAAATGGGCTTATAAACATCACATCTATTCATGTAATACGATATTTATTGTTTTTTTCTGGGTTAGGTTTGAAACATATAAAACGCTAGATTGAAAAGTTAAGATAAAAAAAAAGAAAATTAAAAGAATCCACCTGATTATTCTGAAGTTTTATTTATAAAGTAAAAACAAAAAATTAAGAAATCATTAGAGTTAAATAGCGATTTTTCATCCAATTAAGGTACAAACAGATCTATTTTAATTGATGTGTATACATCAAATAGTTTTATTTCAGTGAAATGGGTACTAATTAATCTTATTTTCAAAGACACACCTAAATTAAAATGTTCACATAATAAAGTGTACGTGTTTTTAGGCTTAGATTTATATTATTTTATTCAGTTATTGTAATTAGTTGTATCGGTTTTTACGTGTGTACATAAGCAATTGCCCCCCCCCCCCCCCCAGTGGCACAGCGGTATGTCTGCTAGAAACCAGGTTTCGATACCCGTAGTGGGCAGAGCACAGATATCCCATTGTGTAGCTCTGTGCTTAATTCCAAACAAACAAACATAAGCAATTATAAGTATGTAAGTGACCCAAAATCGAAACAAAATATTCAAGTATTTGCAGGGATTTAACGCGAGAGTCGGCACAGAATTAATGATGTACAAGATAGTTGCGCTTATTTTATACCTACTGATGGGTTTAGCACTTAGCCTTTTAATTAGGAGATATTCCCAACTTTCGATCAAAAGAAATTCACATGGATGTTTGGTTATTTTAATAATAATACGGAGTTCTTAGATTCACTGATTTTTCTTAGAGTTATTACATAGGAACTGCAGGTTAAGTGGAGGTTCACCAGAAAATGTACTGCAGAACAAAAATCTGACTTTGACTGATCCTGACACACAAAAAAAAGATTGGATACATGCTTGCACACTGTAAAATAATCTTAAAATTTCACAAAAATCAAAACAAAAGACTAGTGCAAATGTGACATCTTCATTGGAGAGAGACATGATGTTAAGCTAAACTAGATTAAGTTATATTATATCAAAGTTAAGAGTGTTTGTTATAGCTCAAAGAAGTTGTATTAAAGTTAAGGAATGTTAACCAAATACAGATATACTCAGATTGGAAAACATGGCATTAATACCAATAAAAACGAAGTAATTATTCTTAGGAAAACAGGCGCTAATCAAGTGATTGGTAATTGCATCACCAGACTTTAAGATTAGTTTTTAAATCCACATCACGCATAAAAAATGTTTTCCCTACTAAAGATCTCCTCCCCATTCCTTATTGTTCTTGGCTTGTCTATCTTTACACGTATGGAGACTGCAAGGCCTCCTATATTGGCAAAATCAAACGCCATTTAAAAATCAGAGCCTATGAACAAATGGGAATTTCCATCAAAACGCAAAAAAAAATTTAATAACCCCTGTGTTTTCTCTATACGCTAACATAGTGAATAAACAGGACATCAACCTATACTATCAAAT